ACATACACCCAGCCCCTCGGACACTTAGGTAGTTTAAAAAATTTATGCAGAGTAAAAGAATAAAATAAAAAACTTGTTGGACTGACATGATGTCCTGAGACGTTGCAGCTGATAGGAGTCATAAAACAGAACAGGGGACGTTAGATGCCCTGACACCATAAATGTGTTAAATGAGTGAAGGAAAATATGAGCGAGCACCAAGCAACAACCCTAGGTTCTCCCCTGAGAACCAGACCAAAACTTTTATGTGGAACCCTGGTTATATTTACCATGGGTCTGTTGTTTGACGTTGTGATGGATTTGCGTTTATTCTCGCTCAGGAGCATGTGGACCGAGCTCTGGCCCTCAGAGATGATGACCCGATGTGTTACTACCTGCTTGGCAGGTGGTGCTATGAGGTAAAACCTGTTCTGTCTGTACTCGGTCTCTTTCTGTGTTGTGTGAGCCAACTGAAGGCTGGGGGTGTCTCTGTGGGACTGCAGGTAGCCACATGGGACTGGTTGGACAAAAAGGCAGCTGCCACTCTCTACAGGAGCCTCCCCACCTGCACCCTGCACACTGCTCTGGAGAACTTCTTGAAGGTATAAATCCAACATACTAGGGTTGGGCATAATTGTATCATGTGGAATTAATCATCAGAAAAACATTACTCGATTCTTTTTTGGCACTTGACGATTAATACGATTAAAGTGCCTGTGACGTCAAATTTTTGTAATACATATGAATGCATTTTTAGAAAGAGGACATTGATAAAATGTTGCAAAAATAAATTTCATGTCACTGAGATGAACAGTTGTTGAGATTTTTGCCTGTGAAGTAACAGGAAGTGATGTCAAAGGGGAATGTCTGCATGTAAACAGAGTGTTGCTACAACAGCTAACAACCCAGGCTGTAGAGAAGAATCTAACGTTTCTTTAGATTATTTTGAGTCTCTATTAGAGAGATGAAGAAGAGTCAGAGTTCAAATAATACTGTTTCAATAAACAAAGACCACAGAGTTTTCTTTGTTAAAGAGTTCCCCTTTGATGTCACTTCCTGTTTCACTTTGGCTGAACCAAGTTCAAAAGAAAATATGCAGTTAATGGGACAAAATGGGTAAAATCGTGTGTATAATTCCGACTTTCTTAAATATCAACATGTTTTCTTTGACTTTTAGTACTTTCATGTCACAGACACTTTAATGTCGCCAGGCAGAGTCCGCTCAGTGCTACTCTCGACTTCAAATATGATGAACATTAAAAAAAAGTTCTGTAATTATTTATCTATCAACACAATTTAAAATTTGATGTATAGCCTGAAGTCTGTAAATTTGACACAGTTTGGAACAGATTTTTACAAAGAGGAAATCTTTCCCACTAAGTTGGTCATGTGACCAGGACATAAGGGTATCCAGGGACACCAGGGGATGAATCGTCAAATTATCAGCTAAATACCACAATTAATAGTGATTCATTTTTTTTTTGCCAATATTTCCCAACCCTACTACGTAACTGCTTGGTTCCAGCTGCCTCAGAATCTGACTCAAGTTTAGGAAGAGGACCACTGGACGGGTTTTAAGTCCATTATTTTGACGTTAGCACAGTTCAGAGACATTTGAGTCACTTTTTTATTGACTTTTCTCGTATAAGTGCTAGCGTCTTAGCTTGCAAAAAYTGACATAAAATATGGCTGTATCCTGAGTCACTGTTACAAGTACGGTAGAACAGTGTTTTGTGGTGCTTCTGACAGATTCTGGCAAATTAAACACCTTTACTTGTTTTATTATATTAATCTTATCAGTAAGCCACCTCAGATGGAGAGGCTTCCGATTGGTGCTCATACTCTGTTATTGCATTGAGGTTAGGGTTGGGAAAACCAGTTATTATTTGCAAATTGGCGATTAATATGATTAATGCTGCGGGGACGACTGACCAGGGATTTCCTCATAAGTTCACTCAGCGCTCCTCTTCTCTTTCTTTTTCTAATCCCTATATTGGATCCCTTGTTTCCTAATCAAAGTCAGATCTGAAGGTTCTGACTGTGGCTCGGGCCTCAGTCAGTGCAATTCAACATGGTTACCACAGCCAGTCAACATACATGACTATAATGCAGTTAGTTTTACAGATATTGTACTTCATGGTAGTAGCTGAGAGTCATTCACAACACACACCGAGCGAGGCTTGACCAAAACTCCATCATTTCTCAACTTAACATGATTTCAGTCTACTCTGGCAGGAAAGGCAGTGAGCCATATTTATTCATTATTCTTTATTTCACTCGGTTTTTTTTTTGTTTGTTTGTGTGAACCTGCAGGCGGAGGAGCTCAGTCCAGGTTTTTCCAGGACTGTGAGACTTTACATCGCCAAGGTAACACATCAGAATCACTCATCCCACCGTTGCATCTTTTTTCCAGATCAATGATTACTAGCCTTTTTAGACTTGTGTACCACTGAGCCATATTGTCATACCACTAGTACCCCTTCAGTCAAATGCAGTGATGATTCTCCAAAACTATAATTACAACAACTGATTATTAAATGAAAATTATTTATTTAACCCTCTAGAATGTTTAATTCTCAGTAGGGCTGTGTTTTCCTGTGTGGCTCCTCCTCCAGTTTACCCACCAGGACACCGATGGGTCTTGGAGAGGAGACAATGAATGTCTCCTTCTTAGTTTGGAGGTGATGAACCAGACTTACAGCCACTGGGGTGGCCTGTGTGGCCGAGTCCGGCGTGTCTCCTCCAGGAGACAGGGGCGGGGGCGATTATTAAAATAATCGATTAATCTGTTGATTATTTTTTCGATTAATCGATTAATCGGCCAAATCATTAAAACGCTTAATTACATGAATATGAGTAGATATAAATTAAGTTAACTCCTTAATGCAAGTTATTGATAATGAATTAATCTGAAGTTGATTTATCTTATGGATTGATGAAC